GGTTTTAACAGCTCATAATATACTACGCCGAGCTGGTCCCACCAAATACAGAGCATGATCTTGGAGCCGTGAATATTCGGTTTGGAACGTTGACGTGGAAGCATGGCCGGGAACTCCCCATGATTTTCTGCGCTTGGGATTATCGTAATGAACCCATTTTTCGTCCCCAGTCACAATGCGATGCAGAAAGCTCTTTCGTCTTTGCCTTTCAAGCAGCTGTTCACAAGCAAACAAACGTCATTCAACATCTCTCAGCTTCAACTCGTACGGCACCCAATTTCCTTGCTTCTGAATCATTCCCATGGCTTTGAGACATTTTGAAATGGCTGATTGAGTCACTCCTAATGATCGTGCCAATTCTTTTTGATTTTGACAAGAGTCTTGATCAAGTAATGCCTTCAATTCTGCATCTTCGAAAACCTTCTCTCTTCCACCACTATGCTGGTCTTCGACGTGAAAATCACCGTTCTTGAAGTGTTGAAACCACTTATGACACGTTCTTTCACTAATAGCAGCTTCACCATAAATATTTGAAAGCATTCGATGAGCCTCAGCCGCAGATTTCTTCATATTGAAGCAGAAAATTAAAACCTCCCGCAAATGATAAGAATTTGGCTCGTAAACTGACATTTTCAATCGAGAATAACTTTATGCAGACACAAATCGACTAATGTTTCTTTTTGGATTATGTTGACAGATTCCCAAGTTTATTGTGTGACGTCTATGATCTATTTATTTCGATCACCACTTACCGCTAAAGCCATCTATACGAAAACCGAATGAGCAAAGTCATACACCTAATAAATAAACACGCCCAAGAAAACTGTTCTCCGAAGCGCAAATTTAGGTTATGTTTTTATTACAACATTTTACTAGAGAAAGGGAACGCTCCTCCCAGTAACACAACATGGCTACTGGATACTAGGTCATGAAACTTTTTTCCTAGGATGAAAAGTGAAAAGTGTCTCCATTAACTTCAATGATTGAAGTTTTCACCTTTCACTTTCCATCCAGAGATCAAGTTTCATGATATCCCTGTGGAAATCAGCAAATAGGAACACACCCAGTGTCGTTATGAAATTAGAGAATAGCACTGCTGGTTTCATTAAAATTGTTAGACTATAAAGTAACGTGATTTCAGAACTGATGCGTCAAAATGACTGAAGTGCACATAGTACACGATTTTAAGTATATATTGGGTACAGTTGGGTGCCGCTAATTTAACATTGCCCCAGCTGAATGATCTGT